GAATAATAAGAATTATATTGATAAAAGCGAAAACAAATTAACATTATTTTTAATAATTAAAAATAATACTTTTTCAAAATTTGCCAGTACTTTTACTGAAACTATTGCTAAACATTATCTTGATGTTTGTGAGACGTAATATAGAAATAGATACTCTTTAAGTTGGCCTAGTTTCTAAGAGAGGATTGTATTATGTATCATGCTGTATTATGTGCTGTTTCTTTACTATATCCATTTATAGATAGATTACATCAGTGTATTATGACCTTATAATTAATGTATCTACATTATGACATTGTAACTGTTGCATATCACATCATTGACTTTCCAAAGAGCAAAAAACCTAACAAGATTTGTGTCAATGAGAAATTCCGTATGTGTGTATGTATAATCAAAAAATGTATATATATAACAATATAAAATTTAATTTATTTAAGTTTATATCAAAAGAGAAATAATTTTTAAAAATAATAAAATAAATTCTATCAGTAGAATTTATTTATTTATAATGTGCAATTATACATATATAATTTACTGCAATAAGTAATACTTCACAAAAGCCTTTTAATTTATTAAATATTATCTAGCCATCAATAACGATTTTCGATAATAAAATCGTTACTGATGAGCAAGTTATACTTGATAAACAATAACGCTTGTGACATGATGTTATTTATTACAGAATAAATTGTATAATTATGCGTTGTAATATATTATATGAGAAATCAATGTGTTTAGATTTTAATTTTCATCATTATATATTATATATAATTTAAAATATATTGAGTATTTTAAATATATTGAGTCGTTTTGTAAATAATAATGCATAAAAATTGTCTACATTTATTAGCTACGCTAGCTGTTTTCCTAAGAAGAAAGAATATAATTCTTTTTAACATATACAATACGAACAAAGGTGCGATTTTCTAACGGGGTGCTATCTTCTAAAGATAACCCGACACGATAAATCGATATATGTTCCGGTCTCCCTTTTATCTTTTTTTTTTATTCTTCGTTACGTTCGATTGTGTAATGGGTCTGTACATACGCGACTATTCCGTAACTGCATACATGCACCGCACCCTGGGTCGGGGATTCATGTCCGGTGCATCTGTTGCATCCCGCACGCAGGTGAGCGCGCGCGCGCACGCTCCGACGGGTGCGAGAGAACGGGTCTCTCGAAGCGCGGGGGCGACCGGCGCGGCGCGGCGCAACGCGGCGATGATGGTGCTGCTGGTGCTGCTGGTGGTGGTGGTGGTGGTGACGGTGGTGGCGGTGGCAGCGGCCGCGCCGCGCCGTGAAGACGCGCGGGGGTTGGAAAAACGACAGGGAAAGCTCGTAGCGGGCTACCGGTTACTACGTGGACGCATGCCCGCTGATAGCTCAGTGGAGCGCGCGACTTCGTGCCGTAAGCACATTTCTTACGAGTGGATCTCTTTCTTTTCTCTCTCTATCTCTCTCTCTCTCTATCTCTACGTTGTCTCTTTTTTGCTCCCCCCCCTCTCTCTCTTTCTCTCTCTCTCACACACACACACACACACACACACACATTCACATATACTCATACTATATCTTTCTTTCTCTTTCACTTCCTCTGTCTCGTCAAATGTGTAAGTGTAGGTACGCGTGTGCGCGTTTCTTTCTCATTTCGCCTTGCCTCGCTTCGCCTTGCTTCGCTTCACCTCTCCTCTGTTGTCTATCTCCATCTCAGCTTTGCTCATCGCCGCGAGGACGGCAGGCACGTCCGCCGGCAAATAAAATCCGTGTTGGGTGATGCAGCGACAGGGGTGGTGATAATCGTAGATGAAAGGGTGTAAGAGGAAATGTCGAGCATCCTGAGAGATTTTTCGTGCGTTTTCAGAATGCATGCATATCATACCTAGAGACGAAGTATATAAATCGAAATTAATAACGAGGGGTTACGAAGGGTAGTGAGTACAAGTTATTTATTAAACAGGAACAATATTTGGAAGTAAAAGACGCTTGAAAAAATAGGGTGAAAATAAAAGTGATATTTGAAAGAAGATTAAAAGGTGAGAAAAGGAGGTAGAAGAAGAAAAAGATGAAGAAGAGAGAGAGAGAGAGAGAGAGAGAGAGAGAGAGAGAGAGAGAGAGAGAGAGAGAATCAGTAATTTCTCTAAAAAATCAGAGAATTTTAAGTATAAACGGCATATTTGTGTTTTCTTCCTAGATATAACGCGAGATGCGAATATCTTTTAAAGTGCTGCACCACTGGTAATTTCGCAAAACAAAATTTTAAAATTAAGGAAAAGGTTTCCTTATGAGAATCGCGAAGATTGCGGTTATCACTCAAAGAGAGTAACGTAGTGAAGAATATAGAGCTGGAGGAAAGAAAATTTACTTATTTCTTCATGTGATCTAGAAGAAAGATGTCATGATCAGGAAATCTACGAACAATAATGATCGAGAAAAATATTTAAAAAAAAGTAAAGAGAAGAAAAGAATTACGGGTTGACTTAAATGAATATAAATTACTAATATCAAGATAGAAAACAAGAAAAAAAAGTATAAAAATTATGAGTAATGTCTCTACTTTCTTCTCTTCATTAAGCGCGCTGTATTACGAGATATTAAGGATTCTTTAACCATTTAATTTTTTTACGGTTTTATACAGCGTTATAGAAATGAAGGATTATATGAGACTCTCAGTGAACAAATTATTCGTATTATTTTCGTCATGTCCACTTTATTTTTCATACGCGTAAGTTTATACTTTATTGTAATATATACATGTTGCGATAATCTGTATAAATAGTCATGTTACAAAACAATTCAGTCAAGCATTCACGTCTTTATGTGTATCTGTCGATCTTTTTCGTACTTCTTCTTTTGAACACCCTTTTCATCTGTCAAAAAATGTCTGAATATACATTTATTTTAACCCAACACAGTTGAGATTGATAGAAAGGTTTCGCCAGCTGTTCGTCATGCAAAAATTGTAACAGTTGTCTTCAGCAGCCTTTCTGATTTAACGTCAAAGCATAAATTTTCACATATTGTAAAAGAATGTCCATAAATTTTTATTACAAAAATAAAAAAATTCGATTAACTCTAATTTTATTATTACAAGTCCAATGTAGGAGAAAAAACAATCTCTATATTATACATTCTTAACTTGAGGAATATGTATTACAAGAATCTACATATTATGTAAGAAGATGTATCAATTACTCCTCCTTTTAACTATACATACATATTTACATCAAGCGTGTTTACTTTACAGACAACTGAGCTCTATACGCTAGATACGTTTCACAAAATGGAGAGAGAAATGCGAGATATCGAAAAGATATCCTTTAGAAGAAAAGTATAATAGAAATTTAAATAGCTATGGCATTTTTACGAAGTGCTATGCGGTGACTCACACTTAAGTATTCCATTGTGTAGAATTCTGCAAGCATTGCCCTGTATAGCGGGCGCTTCCAAAAATATACGTTTCGTTTTAGCGTTTCGCGCACGTCGATATGCAAACGCATCAGTAATTCATGGACCGTAGGTCGTTGCAGAGTTGCTGCAATAAAGAGAAGAAAACTAGGAAATTTATTAGAAATTTCCCCGAGCTGTAATGGGCGAAGAGATTCCTCAAAGTGCTCTTTAATGCTATCAAATAATAAAACATTCTTCTCGATGATAAAATCAATAGGCATGCACTTATCTCCTCTTATTTTTCTCACTTCTTTTTCAACATATTATATTGTGTGTGCTCTACCTTTATTTTTCCTCCATTTATTTTTTCTATCAGTGATAAAATATTGATTAAATAAGTGATAAAAAAGTAAATCTTTTAATTAAAAAAAAAAATTATCCTAACAGTCACTCTAATATTTTCTCTTGTTTTTGGAAACAAGATGTGCAATATGACACAAAATAAAAATATTGAGTAAAAATGAGTGTTGTGCAAAACGACGTGAACTATAAAGTGATTTCAAAGTGACAAGTATTGAACGCGATCAAACGGCAAGATTCTGCTTTCAGCTCCGACCTCTTCTTCCAGTTTCGTTGTCAAGAGTATTGATATTTCGCTGCAAACATTCAAAGACTCGTAACTGACATCCAAAGCATGAGAGACATACATTTGTCTTTGACTAAAGATGTGTCCAAAAGCTGATCTTACAAGTTCAAGTCACTTATACCGAGTATCCGCGCGCGCGAGAAAGGAAAATAATAAACGGAAACCGACGAACACGTAGAGGATGGAAGCATGATTCAGGTACCGCAGGTTCGACGAACTCGACGGAAAACTAGAAGAAGAGCGTCTTGAGGTCGGAAAGAAATCGAAGAGAAGGGTGAAATGACGAGAAATTCTGAGGATATGGATACCCGCAAGGACGATGGGGTCGGTCGATCGCGAGGCTCAAATCTGTTGACTTAACAGTCTCCAAGGGGAATCTCGACATGCGTCCGGTGGAGCTGAACGGGACGTCATCGTACTTCTGTTTAAGTTACGCATTACGAGAGATTACGTTCGCGACATGACTTCGGCAAAGAGAATTACCGCGTATCGTTGACGTCACTAGCGGAATATCAATGTTCTCAAGACATGATTTGAAGGAAGACTCACACCTTTTGCTAATGTCATCGCAGGAAATTATTTCGAGTTGGAGTCGATCCCTGATATTTTCTGTAGCATGTACGTGACCCTAACGACGTGGAAAGAAATTTGTGGCAGAGCCTCGAAAAGATTAGACGGTACAACTTTATGCCCTTGGTACGGTACCGTTTCCTGAAAGACGAGGCTAGATAGTGAGTGTATGTGTGTGTGTGTGTGTGCGTGCGTGCGTGCGTGGTGCGTGCGTGCGTGCGTGTGAGGTGCGCGCGCGCGCGAGTGTATGTGTGTGTGTATGTGTGTGGGTGATTGTATAGAAGAGGAAAAAACACGGAGAACTCAAAGATATCTTTCGTGCGGTGGTACCTGCGGCTGATGAGTGTCTCTTCAAATTACTTCAATTGTCTCCATCTCGTGCCAGGTACTTGCAAAAGAACATCGTACTGGATCAGCTGTACGAATCGGTATCAAACGGTACCGTCGAAGAATGAAACAATCCGCCAAAGCATCGTGAGAGGAATAACAAAAGGTACGTTTTAAATCTAAAAAAAACTGATAAAGAAAATATCCGCAAAATATCTCCTGTATTTATCTTTTTTAGTAAATCTCATTAAAATTCATTTTATTATATGCAGAGATAAACGAGAATAATTTGTTTAGTTTCAGCTTTCTATAAAATTCTTCTTATTAATAAATTTAATATTATATAATTTCAAGTAAAATGAACATTTTTTACTTTAGAAGGCCTTTGCCTTTATTAGAGCAACAAAGACTTTATTTAATAAACTAATGTTATCACAAAATAAGAGAAGAAATATATATAGACATCTAATATTCGCAATAACGGTTAAATGAGATCTATTTTCAGAGATCTCAATTTTTCCGGACAAAAGCTTCTTTCACAACAAATATTACGGTACGCTGCGCAGTTCTATCTTACAGCAGTTCCCAGGGTTTTTCTTTCGATCGAGCTCCTACTCATTTTTATCCAATAACCGTGCAATAAGCTCATATTCCTAGCAGTCTAGTATCTAGTCGCCCCGTAATGTTTTAAAATAAATGTTTTTATCTCTTACACTAAAAATAATTGAAAAGATAACAATAGTTCTCTCTTAATGTATTATTGACAATATTTCCTTTATTTGTTTTTAATAGGAAATTCATGGAAACTAAAAGTCTATTTTAATTGTTATTATACTCTTATCTATTAATTTTTCAAATTTTTAGTTTTTATACATCTATTACTGCCTTACATCACTAATTTTTACTTTTTGACGACAATACGTAATGAAATTTGGTCATGCTAACACGTTCTGACTTAACTGGGATGCATACTACAGGTACTCTACATAATATACACACAATTGAAGAAATAACCATGTAAGCCAATTATTACCTTTTTATATTATTTTTTAATTCTTTCCGCTTGAAGATGACTCGAACTGAGTCAAAACGTCCGGACGAATTCTTCTTATTTTAATTTTTAATAGTTTTATATGTTTGTTGTTGTTTTTATATTTGTATTTTACTTTGGCTTTTGTATTTTATGTTGCCCTTTTTATTAATATTTAAAATGTCTATCTTGTAAGAAATATATATTATTTATTCCGATCAAACTGTATATACATTTTTTGTTAAATACATTTTTTTATGCCTATTAAAAATAAGTCGATAATAGTCTACTTTCACACTTATTGGAAACAGATTATTGGAATTTATTGCGGGATCGCAAGAATTTAAATTACTCAGCAAGATTTAATATAAATCTATCTGCACAAAATATCATAATTTGCGTACTTTTGGTTTCGTAATATCGGGGTAATTAACGTCTCGTCTAGTAATATCTTATTAGTTAATTCCAATTCTATCATGTTGAAAAATAGAACTTTTTTAATTCAATATAAATATTTGTTTATTTTAATAATTTTTTAATGTCCCAATGTTTAGATTTTTAATTAGATTTTTTATATATAACGCAATATAATGAACAACATTAAATACAAATAGACTGAGAAATATTTAAATCAAATGAATAAAAAGGACCATATTCTGCTAAGTCGAATCTTGGCGTCTAATAATGGATCTTCCATTTAGTGACACAAATCGACACGAGTATTATTCTGTCTTTGTTCCCCGTGGAATTCAAATAAAAATAGAACGACATTTGTATTAAATTGTGTCACTAAATGGAAGGCATCCTATATTTTTATATAAATTTTTCCTACTTTGATCGAATCTCTTCACTCGTTTGTGTTCAATATAATGGCATTAATCACTTTATCGTATTAGAGGAAACGATAAAGTAACGTGGTAACTTCTCTCTCTAGGCAAGACAAATGACAGCGATTTGATGGGACCATCCTCTCGATAACTTCCATGCTACTCCGTACATCTACGTTTCCCTCTACAGACCTTACTAATGACATGCGTGAGATATATCCGATGTAATGACATGTCGGTTATTAGTAATTGAGTAATTAGTGAGAATATCGATGTGAAACTTACGTGAAATTGTGTATACAAATTTCAACGAATTTATGGAATAATGTACTGAACAAATGATTAAATAATCATAAAAACAAAGATTACATGCACAAATATAGTATGTTATCAGAAAAGTTAATTCTTTCAATTATGGATACCACACACGGAGAAAATTTTATATTAAATTTCAATACAATTTTAAATTATTTTTACTATGTCTTGTATTTTCGGGTGGACCCTCACAACAATATTCCGCGACATAACTTTTACTATGGTAATACTAATTTTATCACACATAAATGAAGTATTTTTTATTATTACCAGTGCTTAAGCCATGGAAAGAATTAATTTTTACTATGGTACGCAAACAATATTTGTTAAGTTATTTATATATTCTTTATCTTTACAATACTAACTTTTATTCAACAAGATGTGATTTTATAATAAAAAATTTTTACTATGAAAATGTGTAAAAATTGCTTTATATTATTGTTTTTAAAAAAATAGTTATAGCATTTAAATTTATAATTACACGATGGTCCGCTGCAGCTTCTACTATATTATAGTAATTTTAAATATAAAATTTCTCCGTGCAGAAAATAAGTTAAAAAATATTACATTTGTCCCATTACTGAATGATATTAGATAATCGAGTATGGACAAACGACAATTAAATATAATTTTTAAAATTAAATTTAACTGAATATGACAGAAATTTTATATCTAACACTTTACTATTACTCAGAATAATTATAATGTAATATATTAATAAATGAAAACAAAATAAATGATTATAAATTTTCTATATCGAAGAAAAATTTGTTTTTAATTTTTTTGAAATTGAATGAATAATTTACGTTTTTCAACTTTTTCCTTTCTAATCTCACGCTCTTTTCATCGAAATGACTTTGCTGAAACTATCATTAATTCATAATCAAATGTCAGTCTCTACTTATAGAGAGTTTTTCACATGATAGAATTTAGGTTCCACATTATCATTTGTATATTAATTGTCGGTTTATGAAGCTATAGACGAGTTTTAATATTTATGGCAGCGCATTATTCATCCATTATCATTATTACACCATCATCTTGTCACTGTGAACACAGACATACAGCCATCAAGCATATTAATTTGTAATATCTGTGGATCTATGCATCAGTTCTACGGAATTCCGTTAGTATATGCAAATTCGTGGCACATAGTTGCACGTTTTGCTGTATTAGCGATCGTTATAATGCTATCATAGAGAATAAAAAATCTCTCAAGAAAGGACCATGCATGAGAAAAATAACAAATAATAATTATTTATAGCTCAATACTGGAACATATCAGAAATATAATGATATATAATTATTTATAAACTAATCTTTACTATAAATGATTACATATAATTATGTATGTTTAATTAAGAATTAATTTTTTTGTGGATAACGGAAAGAGATCAAATATTATTAAGATTCTTTTTGTATGTGTGCAAGGTCTTAATTCTTTAACATGTAGAAAGCCCTGTAATAAAGAGAAGTGAATATTATATAGTTATACTTGTTAGTTTCGTTCCAAAAATTATGAATTTTAGTAGATATGCCTTTAATGGAAATATGCCTTAAAAGACATAATGTTCCTTAGATTTTGTAGCAGTCATAAAATGTTGAACATGCATAGACACAAACGGAAAATTTGTGAATCGCATGCTGCTATTTTTCTATGACGCGTCAATCGATCGTATCTCCCGGAACGGGGAATACCCGCGAAATTGAAATGGCCGTGCAAGATCACAGAAGGGAGGAGGGAGGAATGCAATTTCTGCCGCGATACGAAAATTTTCGATGCCATTTCTGCCGTGCCTCTATTCGAGGTTACTGAGCTATCGCACCTATTTCGTAGGATTAAACCTTTAGATATATATTCCACGTTGATGTTTTGAACTAGAAAAAAAAGAGATAACGACAATCACGTTGACACATATACAAATAATCACATACGTGTCCATTTAAAAAAAATATAACAGTTTATTTTAGATTGTTTAATTTTATAATTATATTAAAATATTACTACAAAAATAATATTAATCTTGAAATTAATTTAGAATATTGTATTTAATGTAAAATATTATAGAGAAAATTCATGTACCATATCTTTAAGTCTTTAAAATTAAGACTATCTTATTTGTTGATATTTAAACAATCATAGAACGTAAACAAGATTTATGATAACAAAAAAAATCGTTAAAGGAAAATATAATATTATAATATAAAAGACTCTATATTAATTAAAATATTCTACTAAGAAGATACGAACCGAGCATCTTGTGAACGGTTATTTTAACTTTGCGAATAGTAAAAAGTTGATTCTAACTTCATAAGCGAACAAGAAATTGTCATTAAGGTTTAACGCTTCAAGCACTAGTAACACAAACTTTTGTTCCCGTCGCGGTAAAAACCTTTTCACGTTCATCGATAATTTTCGCTGTGTAGGCGTTAAACTTAAAGATTGGCACAATAAAATAAATTATAATCTATTTTATATGTATTAAATAGATTAATCTTGCGTAATCCATCTTTAATCAAAGAAATGTGCTTTTTATTTTATCACAGAAACTATAATTAAATTTACAGCGATGAAACAAATCTTTTAACTATAATTGTTAAGAACAATTTCGTAAAAGTTATATTTTTCATTATAAAAAAGTGCAATTAAGTTTGAATAAACTTTTAAATATGCGAAACTGTTCTATGACAATGTTTAGGAAACAATCGATGTAACATCTGAATTTTCACGCCAGTCGCAGTCTACTACTAATTCTTTATTGTAGACAGACAAAATAATTTAATCATATTGACCATAAGAAGAAAGTTATATCTACATAGCCATGGATTATCAAATAGCCGCGTTTTTATATGATATAAACATTATAAATAACAACTATGCTATGTTCGTACATTTTTTTAAGAGAATTGTCAATTTCACAAATAATTATGTAATAATTCTCATATATTTATATTAAGTAATCTTATATGATGTAAATTAATATAATATATTTTTAGTCATTGTTACTGCATTTATGTTTTTTTAACGAAAAATTCTATTATGCTTTTAGAGTGTACGTGTCTTGGTCGATAGACGATGACCGACTGGCCGTCGTCGTGGTGGAGATGACTACCAGGTTAGTGGCTCGTCCTGAAGACGACGACGACGACGACGAGGTCCACGAAAGGGCACGAGACTCGGCTGTGGGCTATCACTGCCACTGATAGGGCCGGCATCCCATCGCAGCTCACATCGATGCCGACTGCCACATCTACGAAACGAGGTATGATGACATATATGTTGTTAAATATGTTTCAGTTTTCCTACATCATAATTTCTGTGTACGTTTCGTAAACGTACACATTTTTCAATGTCATTAATTTTAACGACTATAACAGAATTTTCACAAAACATGTTTTCTTTACTTATTAACATCAATATTATTAAATCGCTTGTTTCAATTTAATATATGATATTACTACTCTAGTTCGATTCATATAATTGCATTTTAAAATCAAATTGATTTCAGTGTTTGGAAAATAATTGAAGAATTAAAGGACTCTTTTTATAAACAATAATTAATACGTTGAAAATGGCGAATAAGAGTCAATCTAAATCTGATAATATATTCTAATATTCTATATTGCGAAGAATATCACGTAATGTTTGGCGTTTCGTCCCGGCTTCCACTACTGGACTCATCAGTAAGGTATTGTAGTGGAAGCCTACCTTAGACGCCGGTGTAAGTTATTAAATCGAGATTCTATATAAAGAGATATACGCGTGTCTCAGCACTTGCGAGAATTTGCGAATATCGATAGACCTCTGATGGCGGGTCGACGTAGTAATATTCTTCGCAATATTTATCCAAAGTGAGAAATAACGTTCTATTAATATATGTAGTCCCCCCAAATTGCGCGCCGAACAATTGTCGGTCTTGCAACGCAAATCTAATAATCTGATATCTAAATGTCCCCTCTTCTTAATTGTTGCGCGCCGAAAGATTTTCGGTCTTGCAACACAACTCTAATAATCTGAAATATCCCCCCTCCTAAATATTTGCGCGCCGAAGGATTTTCGGTTCTTGAAACGCAATTAATCTAGAAACTGTAAATTTTTTTTTTTTTTTTTCAGTGTTTGGTTTGTAGAATTGGATGTATATACATATACATATATAAATTCATATTGAAATATTTAAGTATTAGAGATGGTGTTCGATTCTTATATTTAGGACCGTCTTAAGTACAGCCTTAAAATGTCTATTGACCCAATCAAAGAGCCCTATTAGTATTTTAAGACATTACTTAAGACGATCTTAAATAAGAACAGACTATGAATACCGCCTTCTGATCAGCTTTAATCGATAATAAGATTTCTCTTATTTAATTAGACTTATCTTCATTTGTCCAATTTAGAATTCTGACTATTTAATTTAATAATACGTACATAGAAAAAGAGAGAAAGAGGGAAATGCAACAAGATAAAATAGTTGTAATAATGAGAACAAGTATGTTACTGGGGCAATATTCTCTATCTTCCATCACTCTGTTCTCGATTCTATTTCGCAGTTAACGTAGCTAATGAAACAAAAGGGAATGTTTCGCCATATACTGTGTTTAATTATACGGCAACAGAGGAGGGAAGTTCTTATAATAATTTTCGGTGCTCAAGTACATCGAAATAGAAAGGGCAAACAAGTTCGAATCAGGACAAATTGCTATTAAGTCTCAAACAAAAGTATATAGTTACGTTAATCAATATTTATTATATAGAGTAATAGAGAATTACAAAGCACATCTAAGTCTTAAAATATATTGGGAGATTCGCTTGTGTGTTTGCTTGCTCAAAAAAACTACTTTACTATCAAAGAGAAATCACTCATATAATAAAATCCAGTGTAAAAATGAAACGTCGACGTTTCTATTTGAATAAATATTGATGTGACTTATGACAAAATAATTCTTGACTGTATTGCTTGCCACTCTTTTACCGATTCTCTAATGCAACATCGTCGGTCTATTCTAGAGACATATTTGAAAATTTTAAAAAATATGCATGTACTGTGTATGGAATAAAATTTGTCTACATAATGTAGCAATATTCTCAAGTCGCTATCGAATCGTTGAAAAAACGATTTATCTCAATTTTGTAGCAAACTGCAGACTTGTTAGTAGAAAATATCAGAGAACGGAAAAGGGGAAAGGGACGCGGACTAGCGATCAACATCGAGGTAGAGTCGGCGGTATTTAGGACTCATTGTTCTTCTAGTAGTTGCCACGCATTGACTCGATAGATGTGCTCGTAGCTTTCTCTATCCGTCATTTGTCCCCTTTCGCCTTTATTCATCTGTCTCGCAGCTTTTCTCGTGGGAAGAGACAGTAAGACTCTCTTAACGGTACTTTATCCTTGCTCCGATACGATCTCCCCTTGAACTTTGATATTTACCCTCTTATCCCTGCTTACTGTAACGATTGACGTGGATCTACAATGATAATGACTCTAATGCAGATCTACCGAAACAATCGTGAAATCATTTCCTTTCGATATCTACTATATATAATTATTATAAAATATTATTAATACCTAAGAGAAGTAACAACTCTGTTCAACCTGATCAGTCATCGTGCAAATTCTACGCGAAAACCCGTTGACGTTTCGACGATTCAAAGAATTCAGAGAAATAAACGTGCCTCCCAAACGATACTGAAATTCCGTCGTAAATGCCTCCAAGAATACTGATTTCTTCGCGTTCCCGCGAGCAGAGAACTTTTCTCCACACACGAGTTCGCGTGTTCATCTATGTTCCATTTGTCTCCCCTCAAGTATCGATCGTCGAACGACACTGACTACGAAACTCTGTGAAACTTGCAAGTTGCGAGAGGTAACCTGTGGAATTGACAGAGCAAAAAGCTCCTTTCGGATCTGAAGTTCGGCGCGTGGAGAGATTTGCAAATTCGGCGCTCCCGAGGACGAACGCTCGCGAATATCCGTTCTATGCAAATCGGCAACCTGCATGGCAAACGCGTTCGCGGACGAATTCCGCATACGAATTACCGAAAAACGATTTCTATTATACGCCACACATGGATACTATAGCCTTAAAATTTAATTCACGTGTACATATACCAACAAAATGTATATGTATGTATGCTTGTGCAAACTATCAAAATTAATCGTTTGTTTATTTGTGATGTATACACGAATAATAATCACTAAAAATATATTTGAACATGTTCAAATTTTTCAATTTTGTTATACTTTTCTTAATTTTATTATAGTATTCAATAATAAAGACCATCAATGTAAGAACATAACTAATACAAATACGAAGCTTATAACAGTCTAGCTTAGATCTTTATTTGCTTATATATAATTTCGCGTGAATTTATACAATATAATAATATACTAATATACGTAGTTCCTCCCAAACTGCGCACCGAACAATCGTAGCTCTTGAAACGCAATTCTAATAAACTACCGCGATACTTTTATTACAGCCTTATTATATTTGGATTGTATTTTTTTAAATCATCTATATTTTTTGAAAGACTTTGAAGATTTATAAATGTCTATACACAAATTAATTTATATAATACTAATACAATAATATTTAATTAGAAATATCTGTAATTTGTCTGTAATTAGAAAATTAAACTTGGACTGTAAAAAATATATTCATTAAAAAAGCATTAACACTTTATAATTTAAGACACGATACTGTTATTAGAATTTTTTAAAGCTTTTTTTAAATTTCTGACAGCATAAGATACGTGTAAATATTAAATATACATTATTTCATTTAGATAAATAAAATCACTGAACGCGAAACTAATTATATGTAGATGCAATTACGTTTTTATATTAGGCTTTAACAGCCAAGCGGATGTCAATAAATTATCACACATTCTCTTCCGCATGTATTTTAATAAATTTGATAAATTCACACCAAGGAAAAAGTAGAACGTTACAGAAACTCTTATTGTTTTCAGCACAATTAGATTATAATCTGAATTATCCGGTTTCTAGTCACGAGGTCATGTTTACTCTTTCTATTGATCGCAGGATATCACAAATAGAGTATGTAGGTAATCTACTTATATGAAATTTATGAAGTTACAGGAACAGACTGAAAACTTATCCTAGTACTCGTTTGAGGAAAAATGCAGTTACTCATTTTTATCTAATATTAAGAAAAGATATAATGTTTATCCCAAACATTTTTTCCCATGTACACAAATTAAAAATTAAATTTGGAATCACGATGTCAAGAACTATGTGGAATTTTAAAAAGATGATTAATACTAGAAAATGAAAATTAATAAATGTGTTTTGTGTAAACAAATAAGTTATGGACATTTGTTTAATTAAAATATGACAATGACAAAATACTATCATATATAAAATAATTAAAGAATATTATTATATTACGATACGAAAAAGACGATATACTGAATATGTAGTTGGAATATACCGTTGAAATGGTTCAATCAGTATCGAATGATGAAATTTGTAGTGGAATAATGTTATTAGAATATTAAAATCGTTTCTCGATAATTCTCTACGCCATATTGATGGACTTTCTTTCATCGTGTTCATCGATCATATCAGTCAAAGCAGTCAGCTGTCTGGGAAATTAATAACGAAGTCAGCACTTACGTAAAATGTTCTAACATAGCTCAGAGACGGTAAATTTTGCAGAATATTGAAACCGTGAAAGACTCTCTCTCTCTTTCTCTATCGATTTACTTGACTATGTTTGGAATTCGACATCTCAATTAAGGGAAAATCTTTGAAATACAATTTTCGATCTTTTGACTTTAATTGCATATTTGCAATAAGCGTCTTTCAATAAAACTTTTACAAGCTTATTCTTAAACACTTTATTTTTTATTGGCATATTAAAAAACCTTATTCTACAAAACAAGCTTATTTTTCTCTTTGCACAGTTTATTTATTGCAAGTTTTTAAATCTAGAATATGAAACTACTAAATGATATTTTGAAATACTCTTGCTATAAGCGAAACTTTTCTAGTATCATTATCGCAGTCTTTCCTTTATGGAAATACGCATCCGAATTGTCACTTGACTTTTTTATAGCTGATTTTACAACTAGAAGTACGTACTTAAGTGCCTCAGAGAGTGCCTCCTTTTATCCATCTGTACGATTAATTTCTATGATGAGACAATCTCTTTAATACATCTCTCCATTAAATTTTTTATAATACATCATTCAATTATACGTAATTATAATACAGTTAAAATGGTATTAAAAAAAAAAGATT